ATAACCAAGTAGTGTACCTCTTCTCTGAGAGTTTTTGGCTAGAGACTTTGTTATACTTGTGTAGTGGATAAGTCTTGGATGCCACATATATGAGAAGAAGTGATTTTTTCCTATATTTAGCATGAAACTTGTATTTTATGTAGTTTGTATTTTTATCAATAAACAACGAGATATTTTATATTTTCTGGCTGGATTTCTTTGGAGAACAAGATATGGACATTGCATTTTTTCAATCTCTCTAATGCTGGTGTATTTTTTTGTGGCCATTTCCTGGGAGTATTGCTGCACTCTGCACAACAGACGAAACATAATGTTACTAGTGTCATTTTCTCCACTTAGTTAGAGAGCTGTTTGCTGCTAGGATTACTTCAAGAGCATTGCACAATCTCAGTAGTATTTATTTCAAAATGATATGAAAGGTGTGCATTTATTCAAAGAACAAGAAGCACTCAAAGAACTATTTCTGTGCAGCCTACAACAGACCTACGATGACTCTCCACTGAAAAATAAATAGCTGCCAGTATCTATCTTCACCCTGATCTGCAAAACAGAATTTGATCTCCAGCAGCTAACAAGGCAAAAGTAGGCTTGCTGCAGCAGAAGCACCCAAATCAAGACACTTCCGAATTCAGCTGTAGGATTTACACTGAAGGCGCTTGCCAACGTGCCATTCCTCTGCCTGCAACTGGAAAGTTCCAGGCAGTAGGGCCAACCCGAAGAAATTGTAGAAGTCATCCTTATATTCTGCTTGGATTTCTGAAAATCCTCACAGTTAACCCATTTTTAAAAATAATTCAAACCCCCTGCCTTCATCCAAGTGTACTGAATGAGTTTTTCTGTCAAATTAAAGTTTTACTAACCTCTAAAACTCCTGCTACCTCCATAAGAGGGATAAGTTCTGCTTTAACACAATAGGTTAATCTCTTGCTAAGTTCTGGCAGGAGAGCTTTATAAACCCAAAACTCATCCAGTTCCTGTAAGAAAACATTAACAACATTTCTGTTGGTCAGTTTTATTTAGAAAGTTATCAATCAAACCCTGCCCAGTTTCTTCTCTTACTGTGATCCATTAGTTGTAGCTAAATTAATGTTTACAGTGGATAAAAGCAATAAATTGGGCCCTACATATCTGGATGCAACACTGTGATAACACAGAATCTTTCACTTCATGACCTGATAACAAAAGAAATAACCAGCTATAGGAGAATGTCAGTACATCATTTGCTATGGGTTAATAAATATCAGAGTGATTTGTTTCAAAATGAGATATACAGAATTGCAAGATGCCTATGAGTCTGTTACAGTATTTATTTGAAAAATGGGAGCAAAGTAATGTACTGAAAATTGGTTCTGAATTTAAGAAAGGAAATTGTATGAGATGATTACCAAAAAATTATAACTAAATTACACACACACACACACACACACACACACACACATATATATGAGAAAATGAATGTTTTTGTTTTCCAGTGAATTATTTAGCTGTTGTACATTACCTCACAAAAATGCAAAACTGAAGAGGAAAATGAAGCCGCTGAATTAAGAAGAGTCTGAACAAATCCTCGTGATATATTAAATTTTTCTGCCACATTCCATATGTTGGTCTCTTTTAACAAGGAATGAAGGATGAAGGACAAGTAAAGTCTATTAACAGTATTACTATCCAGTTCCTAAGAAGATATCAAGTTTATGAAGAAATTGAAAACAGCATAAAATCTTTTGCAACCTTCTATTTCTTTAAGTTCGTTAAATAATTACAGTGCATCTCTACATTTCTCAATTCCTATGCTTACATGAAGCATGCATCTAAGGGACATAGTTACACACATTCCCAACAAAGAATTTGCAATATAAATAATGGAAATATTATAACAATGTATCTTACTGTAGAACTTTTCTGCTGCTCTTCAAAAAGATTACAGTACAATTAAAAACACTTATTTTCCTGCTAATTCATGCTACATGTACAATATCAAATGACTTCATTTTATTCTTTTTATGTTTGTACTACTCTTAGATAATGCATGTATAAGATTACAATTGAATTCCACCTTTTCTTCCAGGAAGTAAAGGCAGTGTATCTGGTTTTCCTCTCTCCCACTGTATCCTCCCAACTACAGCTAGAGCAATAATGACAATCCCCAATGAGTGTCACCCCATGAGTTTTATGGCACATTAGGATGGAGATTTCAACATGGGATTCTCTAATGTTTCAAGAATCCTTGCAATATTTTCAAAGCTCTCTTATTTAACTGTTGCTGCTTTAACAAGGAGCTTCAATAGCAAGAGAAAAGGGGGAAGGGGAAGAGGACGAAGAGAAACCTATAGTTACTGAAATAAATAATCACAAAGGTATTTTCCAGTGGTCATTCAGATACACTGTATAGTAAACAAATCTTTCTCTTACATTCTTGATGGCTTGTCCAGATGCCTTTTTGGTAATAAAGCTCTCCGGCACTCCAACAACGCTTGTCACTTGTTGTTCTATTAGGCTTAGTTGACTGTACTAAGTAAGTAAGTAAAAAAGTAAATAAGTATAATCAGCTCAGGCCTAAAGCTAAGCAAATAGAAAATACAGGACACAATCTCTCCTATTTTAACATGAGAAATACGAATACTGAGCCCAGTTGTACTTATTTCCATTCTGGCTCAAGCAGGGATGAATGCAAAGATATGGGCATCCTGCTGGGAAGGAGAGGCCCCAGGTCCCCAGAATGCCTAACCTCCCTCTTCCTGGAACATACATTTTTCAAAGGATGAATATGCTGAAAAAGAAGTAGGAAGAAAATGCAGGGCCACCAAGTCACATTCAATCTATGCTTATGACATGTAAAGTCATGAACAACTTGAGACCAGAATTATGGTGGGATTGTTTCATGCCCTGGATTTGAGGGCTTCCTGGGTGAATTTTCACAGGTCGATTCACCATGAACAGACTGACCCACTGGCTGAAAAGAGAGAGAGGCAACCCGTCCCCTTTCTGCAGCTCTCAGAGCCGCAGCCCCTCTCCAATTCCCATTACGCAACATATTTGCTTTCTTGATTACCAAGATCATCGGGAAGCTCCTGCTGCGTGTGTTGAGAGAGGCAGAGTATGCTGCCCGTTCCCAGAGGATCTGGGTGGCTAACAATGTCAACATTAAATAATACCCAGAAACATATTAAAAAATAACAAAATCAAAAAAGATAAAAACCAGAACCTAGAAACATTGTGTACCTGCGAACCTCACCTTCAGCTATAATATACCTGCCTCCTGTACAAGACAGAAGCAGTAAGTCTTTTCCTGATGCTCCAGAGGGATGAAGCAGACTGAATTTCTGCTAGGAAGGATTTCCACAGAATAGGAGCAGCTACTGAAAGTGGCTGCTTTTGAGACCCTGGCAGGTGGCAATCCTGCAGGTGAACCTTCTCAGTGATGGCACTGGCACTCTGAAGCGCCTGTCCCTCTCCCCCAAGTGCATAAGGAAGCCCTAGTTCTTCACCCTGGGCTTTTCTGCATGGTTCTTGGATGAATGATCTGAGTTTTTGTTCTCCTCATCTTACCTCATCGTTTTAATGAACCTGGGTTTCATGGCAGTGTTTTACCATTTTAATCATTGTATTTCAGTTTTTGACTTGTAAACTGCTTTGAGATGTGATTGTATGGGAATGGCATATACATGTATTCAATAAATAAACATTGAGCCCTTTGTTTAATACTTCATATACTCTTTCCCTAGGAAATAAAAGACTTATGATGTATATGGTAGACATCTGAATGTCTGCATAAAATCTCTTAATTTTTAACTTCTAATGTAAGACAAAAAATAAGTATCTCCCACCAGCAAAGGAACTTTTAAAAGATCTAAATCCTGTATGTGTGTGATCTTAATTTCTTTACTTCAGCTCCTTTGGTATCATAATATATGAAACAATCAATTTCATTTATAATGGGGGTGTGAAAGAGAACAAATAAACACACACTTTTTGTTTAGGCACAGAGGCTATTAAAAAAACAACAACAAGAATCTCTTCCCAATGAAATTTAATACCACACAAGAGAGTTTAATTATCCTGGTGTTGTTAAGAACACTCCTTTCTATTATGCAAGACCCAAGAAGAAAATACCCAATGATGCTTTTTTGGAAGTATCTTACCTGTTTAAAATAGACCATCCAGTTTGGGCTACACTGAGGAATCATATCGTATGGCGTTATCAGATAGATCAAATGAAGACAGCTTTCAAGCATTAGTCCCTCAAGTCCTTTCTTCAAGTCTGCATAGAGGGTGTCACAGTATGCCAGTTCAATTGAACCTAAGAAGGTTTAAAATTAAACATCACGTGCACTCCGTTTCCCGAGGTGAGTAGAAGCATCCATAGGATCTGGTCTTTTTGTTAAAACAATGAAAACAGCATCATTCTATAAGCTCCACCCTTTCGTATATGCACGCGGATCACTATGCATGTACAAAAGGGGTGGAGTCTGCATTGCCCCATCACTTTCAGCACTTGCTCCCTCCACCCCCGTGATCTCCCTGCAGATGCTTTTGGAGGTGACCACTTCATTCTGCTTATTGGTAAGGCTGATTCTGCCTTACTGCATCTTAACCGATAACGTGTCTTTTACCTTTGTATGTAGCCCGACCCAGCTGAGTGATCCCTAGATTATATTGACAGTTCTGTTCACTGTCAGAGCTTTCTTTCTCTTTCAGCAGCCCGTTTTGTTTCAGCCATTGTAACGCTTCCATAGTTATGTCCCGCAGGCTCTTCTTCTTAGGTAGGAGCTGTGGCTGTACACTAAGTAAGGTTGCACACATGAATTGGTAAATTTCCTCAGGATTGTTTGCTATCTGTAATAGAATATCATAGGTCAAATATTAAACTAAGACTAACTAAAGGCTTAGTTTGGGAGAAAAACAATCCACAGCCATGAAAGAAGAGAATTTTATCAGTAGCTATTTTACTTCTAAGTTCTTGCTCCCCAACTGCTCTCTTTGATATATCTTTAAAGTACTGTAGCTGACAATTAACATTTTAGAATTACCTTTAAGCCAACCACCGATAAGAGTAAGCTTCGGATGCCCTTGTTGAATTCAAGCAGAAGAGTGCTGTAACAGCTTTCTAGGGGACTGGCTATTAAATTTCGAACCTTAAAACAAGTTTACAGCATGTATTAATGAAATATTACAACTGTGAATGAAAAAGTTATGATTATATCATGTGTATATAATGTTACAGAATGCCTGCTCTATTATATCCTAAGAGCATTATTTAATCATATCTCTTGCAACTAATGCCTTGTTCTGTATTGTCTCACTAATCCAAGTCATCTATTGTTAGGAATATTATCTTCTCAGAGGTAGCCCCATGTTTCTGCAGTATCTTTCCCTCAAGACATATCACTGTGCATTATTACTTGCTTTATAGCAACTATTGTAATACCAATCTATTCAAGAAAATGTGGGGGGATAGAAAATAGGGACTGCTCTTGAGTTTTTGTGATGTGGGACAGCTTCGCTGTTTTAATTAATCAATAAAAACAATTGTCCTTAAAGGCCACGATCCCATCCTAAAATGATGAAAACAGGGCACACTTTCTCCTAAAGCAAAGAAGCAAGCATTTGTAAACTTAGATTATGATGTTACCTGGCAGTGACATAATTATGAAGAACCCATTTGTTCTTATAAGTAAAACTGACCTTGAATATACTTACTAAAAGAAGAAACAAATTATTTCAGACCAAGGCCTCATACATATGATCTCCTCCCACTACTATTTAATCAATTAATCCTGATGATTTAGAAATCTCAACATGGCCATTCTTTTCACTTGTTACCAGTTCTTTGTCTTTCTCTTGCACAATCAGAATACTTTCACCAGTGTTGTCAATGCCAGCACGACCAGCTCGGCCAATCATCTGTTTATACTGGTTCTTCTTCAAGAACTCTGTAGCAACATATGGTGCTCTTAAAATAACCCTATGGAATCAATGAACATCTACTTTAATTACTTCTCAGATATATCCAAAATTTATCTTTCCTCATTAAGGAAAAGTGTTTGAAAATACTTTTATTGCTTTTATGGTAAATGTTGCAAAAAGAAGATTTTACTGAACATTCTTCACCAACATATGAATCATACAATATTTGAAATTATAAATACTAAAATAAACAAAAATAACCTCAGTAGAAAGCAGAGCCTTCTTTTGGAATGCTTGAAATGCATACCACTTCACCAATGATTGACTGAAATGGGGTATGCTAAGTCACAAGAACACTTAAATCAAACCAAGTCTTTACTTCAGTATGCATTTATTCTGGAATAAAGGCAGACATAGTTGCATTGTGAAACCCACTATCCCAAAATGCCAGCACACGGACCATCATTTCATGTGGCCCAACCGGTGATTAGATGTATTTAGGGAGGACAAGGCTAGGAACAGTTGTTGGAGTTACCCCTTGCATATTTCCTACGAGGGAATATGTGCAAAAGGGGGATACGGACTTCTCTTCTATCAGAATACTGAACTAAACAGAACTTTTGATTTTTTTAAAAAGCAAGATAAGCTGTGCTCAAATAGTACTTATCAATGTTTAAGTTGGTAACTCTCTTTCTAGTTCATATTGTTTCAGACTTCTGTTGGGAGTCGCATGACTGAATGTCTGTCTCTAAATAATTCCCTGCAAATAACAAAATAGCATTCAGGGAAAGATTTGGTTCTAATCTCTAGTTTTTAATGGGTATGGATGTTTTTTCTTTTTTTAAAGTTAAAAGAACACTGAATCATTAGAATTCCCCCAGCTGCTGTTTGGATATTCGGATACTTAAGGAGCATAGCTCAGCCCTTGTGCTGGGCCCCAAGATCTCTTTGTGGATTCATGCATCTTAGTGAAAGAAATGTTAGAATTTTTGCCATATTTCACATGATGAACATAAAAAGAAAAGCCAGTGCTATAACCTTCGAGCTGGCAGGTTAACTCCAGCGGCAAGCGTAGATGTGCAGGTTAGCAGACAGAGGAGGCCTGAGGAATAAGCTGCTTCTATACATTTCCGTTCATCGCTGGTAAGACCACTGTGGTGATAAGCAATTCCAAATGGAATAGTCTGTTTCAAAACTGGGCAAAGTTTTCCACTGCAGATGTTTCTTAACTCTTTTAGAAGAGTATGTTTTTCTTTCTCCTTAATCTTTTTAAGGTCTCTAGGGAAGAAAAAGTAATATTAGACAATACATTCCAGCTTGGGACTTTGTACACAAGCCACTTTTGCTTCAAACATAACTAGTTGTTTTCATCTAGGATGGATGAGGAATGATCAATTACCTCACCTCACCAAAAGAAAAAGTTCAAATGTATTCTTCTCCACTGTTTAGCTATGATTAAGAGACTGGAAATGTATCATGGAATATATGCTCTCCCTTCCCCATCCACATCCTGGATATGTTCCACATCCTGAATTTGAACCCAGCTTTAAATAATGGTTAAAAGTAAATCCTGGGTAATGTTAATCACCATGCAGACACAATATCAAACTGGAATAATGAAGAAAGAGTAGAGAGAAACCGCTCTTAAAGAGGGAGGACATCTGGCTGGATGTAACAATTTCAGGCTGACAAACTGTTTCCCAGGCTGACAAGTAGCAGAGTGCCTTTGTATTTCAACTTCCTCTTTAGTGTGCCCATTCCACTTTTCTGAAAGAGTGATAAAAACCAGTCTTGCAACTACACATCATAAAACACTCTAATTTCCAAAGTCAAGGCTGATTTGTGAAAGGAAAAGAAAGAAGGCATGGGATAGAAGAAAGCACTTGACCTGGTTTACTAGACTGTGAATTAGATCAATATGAGAATACTAGGAAAATGAGAAGAGGCCCAGTAGAGAACTATATTATTGGTTACAGATTACAGTACAGGTAATTTCCAGCCCTACACACCATTATTTCTATTCTTGGCATACTAGCATAAATGTACCCTGAAATACCTTACATTTGTTTAGGATGCAGATACAATACATCTGCATCAAATTAACACTGACATCAGGATATCCGTGAAAATGTTCATTGAGCAATTAAAGTGCATGTAGGAAATGTACCTGTTTATGTGTTTGCATATCAGTTCTGCTACATTTTCACAGTTCTTCTTAGTAGGACAGAAGACAAGGCAGGAGTACTTTGGAATAACCTCTGTGACCAATGCAATAAGATGATCAGGATCCATCTTCTGCAGATCACTAGAATACTAAAATATTAAGCAGCTTTATTTCTAAATGGAAGTAAATTTTGGATCTCAATTTGTCAAAGTATTCATGCTAAGCTTCAATATGTTTAATTAGATCTTTAGAAAGCAAATTATAAAACTGTCCCTAGATGATGCTTGTGTTTTAAATACTTGCTTTCAATGTGCTTAATCTATCAAATAATTTCTAAAAAGAAATACAAGATAGGCATTTGGTTCTTCAACATTTTACATCTCCCACCTTAGAATCAAGATCAGTAAAAGAGAACAATTAAATTATGTGCAAAAAGTATTGAAATCATTTGAAAATTAAGCATACATTGTTTACATATGATATTTTAGAGCAGGGGTTCCTAAACATTTTGCCATCACACCTCCCTTTAGTGTAATCTTAATGGACACACCTTCCCTAAAAACCCAAACACAAATGAACACAAATGAACAATGAAAACAATACAATGAAACTTTATTTTTTAATAAAGAAGACATAAGAATTAAAAGAGGCAAAGTTTGTGCCTCCTTCATCACTATGTAACTCACTCGAAACTAGTGTTTTGGGAAAGGTGGGAAAGGTTTTTCACACATCCCCTGGACTCTGTCTGCACCTCCCTGAGGGAGGTACACCTCACATTTTGGGAAACCCTATTTTAGAGACTATTATGGTGCTAGAAAATAATTTTGAAAAGGCTGTGGTTGAAAGTGAAGTTGCAAACTGAAAACGAAAGGTCTGCACATTTAGTCGCATTACCTTGAAATCAAGGAGACGTGAAAATGTAAGGCCATTTTCTGCTTTGCTGTCAGCTTCATAGATGCTGTCCTGTATTTTAACATATTCTTTTAGTTCAACCTATATTATGAAAAGTTGCATAGAATAATTAGATTACACTATGAATGTAATTGGGAAAGACTTTTTGAAAATAATGTTTTTACACTGCAATAACAGCAACTTAAACATCATATTTAAATCTTACCTTTCCTATGCAAGCCTAAGGGACATATATGGAGTTCTGTTATTTTTGTGCCCACAGCAACCTGATGAGGTGTTTAGGACTATCAGTGACTGGCCCAAATCACCAATGACCTCCATGACTGAGGACGTGAATCTAAATCTCCTTGATCTCAGTCCAACAACTGAACTACACAGATTTTTTTCCCCCACGAAGTACATCCATAGTTCTTGTTGCCTTTTTTAAAAATAGCACATGGATTGAGATACTTCCTAGTACAATACTAATTTTATTTAAGGTGGGCATTTTCCATATTGTTTTATTAAAAAACAACACCTTTATCTTTCTTTTTCTACACAGTTGTGACAAGTAAGCAAAACCATTTTTAGAACTTTGATCAAGGAAATATAAACATCAAACAGACTAACAACAGACTGAAACTTCATTTTCAAATCAATTTCCCCATTTTTTGCAAGGAGAATATGCCAGATTCTATGTAGAGCTTGAAAAGAAAATGCCTTTGCAATCACCATTCATTCAGCTCTGTCATTATGTAACATTTACTTCTTAGAAAGTTCAATACATTTTTTGAACTCAGTAACTTACAGGTCTGAAATTACTTGTGTAGAATTCTGCTTTCAGGAACTGCTGAAGGTCTTCAACATTTCTTAATGTTGCACTCATTCCAATGATCTGAGTTGTTTCTATGCAAAAATGAAACAAATCAGGCTTAAATGTTAAATATGCATACTTAAGAATTTAAATCTGCAAGAATCCCAATTGCAAACAAAAAATAGTAAAATAATATCAAGACTTCTTATATAAAAATATTACCACTATGCTTCTATCTCAGAATCAGTATGTTATAATTCTTTTCAACTACTGTATACTGAATACTATTTCAATAAAAGCAGTGTGAAATACTATATATTCCTGAAAGCCTCTGAGAGGACAAAAGTTCCTTATTCTAAAAGGCACATAATGAAATCTTCAAACGTAAGTCCATCATAACTAAGTTTCACTGAGATCAATGTAAATTACTTCTGAATATGCAGTCCTAGGAGTATCCGTAAACTTTATGCAACTTCTCTCTGCATGCATAGAAAGTGGTGACCAAACAAATTTCAAGATGCATAAATACACAAGAAGCTGACTTTTTTTTAGAATTATATTTTCCTTTTCTTGAAAAAAATACTAAGCCATGAATAGTTTATAAGCCAGAATTTGGCCAATGCTGTTTATAACACTTTATATGATGAACTGTACTATTATTCTCCCTACTCCCAAAGAAAGATTAGATAGGAGAAAAAAAATCTGTCTCCCTTACAATAATTTCAGCAAATTTAAGATAACCCTCTCATCTTAAGATACATTATTGGGGGAGAGTCTTCCTCTCAGGTAAATACAGTGTGTAGCCTTTTTTTAGGATTTTAGAATTCCCACAACTAATCTTCTTAACATAAAGTAAGTTCAGAATATGAATTCCAGATACTATACAGGGTTAACTTACTGCTTGCATACAAAATCTTTGAAAGGGTCATTTCTAGTATACCTCCACGACCACCTTCTCCAAGCATATGCAACTTTAAATGAGAAAAAGAACATAAAAATCACAAAACTCAGAAAATAATTTACTGAGTACTCAAAAACTGCCCAAATACTAATACTGTAAGAACAGACTCCTTTGATCTTTCTGCTATATATTGCAATGTCCATTCCCCCATCCCCATAAAGTTGGTGGCACAGAGTGTCTCCACTATATAGGAGACTGGAGAAGTTTAATTTCAAAGATCATTATCATAAAGCTTTGAAAAGTGTATTTTAGAAGAGTAATAGACTAATATTTCTGTTAAAATTTATTCCATTTAGTGTTGGCTAAGGCTGAAGACTGAACACAACTGAAACAACTGAAGCTCACAAGCCAGTGGATCCAGGATAAAACCAAGTCTGAAGATAACTGGAAATCATAGAGGCTTTTAGGAGTAGGTGCACACAAGATGGGATCTGGCTTCCAGTGATCTGTAAGTATGGGATGTTTCTGCTAGTCAATCCATGGCTATTGGTCATGATGACTGAACCTTCAGAATTACCACCACCAAAAACAGTCAGTGGAGCATCCATAAAAAATGGCTATTGCATCAAACCTTGTTTGTGACCTTTTCTATTTGGAGGGAAAAAAATGCTAGACTAGATGGACTTTAGACTTAACGTGGGTTTTCTTTTTATTGTGAATCAAATCACAGTGCCGGGACTTTCAGACGGTGGGGATGGTGCTAAACTAAAAGTACCAATGGACTGAGAATGCTGCATAGACTTTCTTTTGATTTGGAGATAACAACTTTTAATGCCTAATGTCACATGGAGGGCTCATCCGTACAGCAGGGGCAAAATGCTCAAAGATGGAAGGAAAGTTTGCTGATTCAGAAAAACTCTGCCCTTGCAGCCTACCTTTTCTGACATCTCAGCAACAAGGCTGGTGTGTTGCTGACCTCACAGAAAGTAACACGGGGTACTTTCAGGGCAGTGACTGGCTCTGCTCTTCCCAAGCCCAGGCTAGCGAAAACAGTTCTGGGCATGGAAAGCCCTCCCTTCCATCTTTCCTTTTCCCTTTACACTTTTCCCTTGTATTTCCTTGGCTTTGCATCTTTCTTTCCCTATCACTTTTCCTTTAATCATCTGAGAGTTCCATTCTCCCTGAAGTATCTTTTTTCCCTTCTCCTTCCTCTTTAAAATAAACTACAACAGCAACAGATAAGACCTAGTGCAATGGAAATCATCTGGTAATAGCACTGTGATTGCAACTGTTCCAGAATGACATATGTGGTCTCCCCCCCCCACCCCACTGCAAGGCTCTTCCAAACTCAAGCTCCTTACAGAAAAGGTTTTACCATGTTTCATGTTTGAACTGGTATTGTTGTAGAATCAAGGGAGTAAAAAGCACTAAAATCTACATATTTGTAACATTACTACATTTTCCAAAAAACAATGATGCTAAACCATACTACCAAAGGAAATAATTAATTCCTGAAAAGAATAGATTTCAGCTTGTGAAAAGTCAAATTACCATAAATATAATCAAGAGCACAGTGTTAATTTTAAAAACAAGTTGCAAATACTAAATAATGTTAAGAAATTGTAACCAACCTCATCAACTACAACTAGACCCAGGGCATTGATTCTTCCTGTTTCTATCAAGGCATTCACCAGGCTGTGTCCCTTTTCGATAGTAGCAATGTACACAGATTTCTTTTGCCTTCTGTTGATTGGAGGAATCCTTCCTTTACTTCCCGCATATTCTTCAACCAAAAAACCTAGTTCCATTCCAAAACCACACAAACTCCCAACCTAGAATAAAAGCAAGAACATGAGGAAAAAATAATTTTACAATGTTACAATTTCACAATACTGTAGCAAATAAGATGCATTTATTTCCTCAAACTTCAGCCCACCCCAGTGCAATAGAACAGAAATCCCAGCTGTGCAAACACAGCATTTCAGCCCACAACTGGAACCCTAATGGGAATGGGAGTTAATCAAATGCAGTGATGCAAATGAATATAAAACGTGGTTTTCGCACCTTCTCTTGGACTAAAGCCACATAAGGCAGGATCATTAAAACATCCATTTGTTTGCAGAGTAATTCTCGAAGAATTAAAATTTCAGCGACAAGTGTTTTTCCACCACTGGTTGGCAAAGAATATATTAAGTTCTTTCGCTTTTGCAGGAATTCAGACATTAAACAATCATGCTGCCAGTCTGTAAAATTAAAAGGCATTTCTTATATTCCTTTCCTGTGTTAGCATTCATAGTGATTCATGATCAAAATGAATCTGTTTGGGGTTTCTAAGAAAACTTGTCAAACTACAGGTCCTTTAGCGAAAACTCAGTTAAAAATTGTATTATTTTATGAGCATCCATGGTTCTGGTAAGTACCTGGGCAACATTTAAAGAGAATCTGCTACTGAAGTATTAGTAGACATATGATGTCAATGTATTTATTTCAGTTTAAATATAACTGACATTGCACTGACAAAGCTGTGTAACTGTAATCAGTTTTGACGTCCATAGAACAGCACATCCAAGAGGCTTAATTAATTTATTTTCTGGTTATAAAAAATGTAAAATTAGTACTGTAGAACTGCAGCTCCTATGTGAGAGGATGCTATACTTAAATGAAAAAAAATGGGCTTGCATTTCATATAGATTCTATGGGGCTGCTGAAATGTAAACATGGAGGAATTTCAGCTTGGGTTTGGAAATTCAGTATGATAATCATGTTGGAATGAGCATGTTAAAGCCCCTATTCCACATTTTTCTAGTTGTACAACTTTCTATTGCAAGGATATATAGCTGAATATTGTTTTTTAAATTACCTTTCTAATGAGATCCAGGATAATTTCCCATGCTCATGGGAAGAACTTGTAGAAGAACTTTACTTGTGAATAATTAGTCAACATATAAAATTTCTTCCTTTGATGCAGAAGTGATTCAAGAGACTTATTGAATCACTTCTGCATCAAAGGAAGAAATTTTATATGTTGACTGATGTAAAAAACGTGTAACAAATGCATAGACTTGTGCGAATGAGCAGATATTGTGTTGAAGGCTCCAAGATTTTGAAAGCTGAAAACCTGGGATACTCTAAAATACCGACAAGATTTGAGATGTGATGCAAACAAAACCAAATTATTTTTTGTTTCTCAAAGAAGTGATCTTATAGAAAGTGATTTTACAGAATCATGTCTTTAGCTAGTTTAGATAGTTGTGACAAAGAAAAGCAGTATCACACAAAAGAACAATAGTAGGAAATGAATGATGGGTTTGAGTTTTACAGTTGAAAAATCCCTCTGTTATATCAAAAGCTGGGAGATTTTGTCGTGCTTATTCTTGGGACTTATGAAGAGATGGATAAACTTCCAGTAACACAGGAATGAATGAAAGCAATTAATTTGTTCTGCTTAATATTAATATTTTCATCTTCTAATAAAGACAGCTCAGGTTATTTCTAGCCCAGCTAACTTCCATCCATTGAGAGCCTCAGAGCTTTAAAATAGCAGGGGGAGATGGGAATCAAGACGGTGGGTGTCTATTCCATCAAATCTCTGCACCATATGTGCACTGCATCAGGAAAAAATGTGTAGCACATCAACCACATGGCTGCACCCACCATCTTGACTTTCTTGATCCACCCTGTGGACATCCCTGGCCACAGTACTAACCTAATGACATTTTTACACAAGTATTCTTCTTCTCATGTGCATTGTTTTAAGACAGAAAAAGTTGTGGTCTATTAGGGCAGTACAAAAGAATAAGGTTTGAATGTTCATTCATAGGAACAGACGAGGCCTGGCACATACCCTATAAACTCTTCATGTTGCTGTAATGGGCATAAGAAAAGCAGCACAAAATGAAATTTCTAAATGTGTAATAATGTAAATTCATAGCCTGCTGATTTACATTCTTAGGTATTAAAAAAGAATAAGGATTTGGAGACTGTTAAGCATTGTTTCAGGATGCGAACATATGAAGTATCGCTATTTTTAAAGCATCCAGCCAGTGATACATCAGCAGTTTCTTTATTCTTGTTGATCACAGATTGTATAACTGTGATCTGAGACAAACACTGGTAATTTCTTTTAAGTGCACTAAATCACACAACTGCAGTGAGAAAGGCAAAAACTTGAAAATGTATGTAATACTTGGCAAACTGAAGTACTAAATATGTTGCAACGAATATAAGTTTGGATTAATGTGAAAAAGCATTTGAACTTATTAGAAAAGATAAAAGCTTTATCATCAGCTCATGAATCATATCTTTGCTAAAGAAGACTATAGTATAGACTATTGCTTTTAATTGCAATATGACAGAATCTGCTTTCCAAAAATGCAGATGGAAGAAATCTGGCAGTCCACTCGACTTGTACTCTTCATATGCTCTTGGTGCGGGGACTCATGAGAAAGGAATTATATTCTAAAGGAAAGATCCGCAATGATTGAGAAACAAAAATCAATTTTCTCCTATTAGATCAGGAGGACCCAGAGGTAATACAGCAAGATTCTCCTATTAGCAAAAAGAGACACTGTTACATGAATGGAGTGAGTTTTTACAATGTTTAAAATGATATTATTTTTATTTGCAAGCTGTTCTCTGACTACAGGTAGTCGTCGACTTACGACCATTCATTTAACAATCACTCAAAATTACAACAGTGCTGAAAAAAATGACTTCCAATGAGTCCTTGCACTTACAACCATCACAGCATCCCCAGGGTCATGAGATCAAAATTCAGGCACTTGACAACTGGCATTTATTTATGACGGTTGCTGCATCTCAGGGTCACATGATTGCCATTTGCGACCTTCACAGGAGGCTTCTGACAAGCAAAGTCAACAGGGAAAGCCAGATTCACTTAATGACCATGTGATTCACTTAACAACTGCAGCAAAAAAGGTTGTAAAATCAGGCGTGTCACTTAATGACCACATTGCTTATCAATGGAAGTTCTCGTCCCAATTATGGTTGAAAGTCGAGGACTACCTACATAAGAAATTAACAAACTTACAGTAAGTAGATTATGGAGCTTATAATGCTAGAATGATCACTGAAATTACAAGTTGTTGGAACTGACTGTCACTGTGGATTTCCATCCTAAAAAATGAATTTCCTCCACATTTACATTTCATTAGTTCCATGTAATGTATGTACATTGAAAATCAAATTCTCATTTCATTAATTTTGTTACGATTTTTCACTATCACTATTAGTATAATTTTATAATTGTCACATGGGTTAGTGATTCTTTTTGTTTATATTTACCATAAACAATTAAACTGGTATGGATGAACTGGTCAATTGTTTTGTAAAGCACCAAAAGTCTTACAGATTCAGTGGTATATTTGTAGAATGAATGAATGAATCAATCAATCAATAGGTTCTTTTGGGTGGCTGCTTTGCCAAAGATGTCAGAACAAAGGAAAGCTAGCCTTCATGCTTTCTGCCCAACATTTCAGAGATTACTTCAATGGAATGAAAAGTCAGGCAACTTGAATATCTTATACAAATGTCAATCTAACAAATAAAATAATTCGGCTTCAGAAACAGAACGAGCAAAGATTGCACTGAACTGGAATTTATCATAGTAGGTTACAACAAACAGCGGTTGGTGGTATTACCATAAAGTTTCTCAATTCCTCTGATATGTAGAAGTAGCTCCTTGACTTTGGTGGGTAAGCCATAGAAAGGACCAATATCTACAAAAGCCAAGTTGTCAGCTCTCTCTGCAACGGCCATCTCTTCAGTTACAAGAGCTTCTTTCAGATGTTTGCTTTTAGAAACCAATGGAGCAGAAGATCTGGCATTCCCAGCCATCGCACTTTTGAGATGGTCTTTGAGACTGTTTCGCCTACCTGGCTCAAACAAAGCACTTCTCACTGATTCACAATCTTTTTTATTATTTTCTGTATCCCTGCAGTATGGTAGATCTGAGAACTCCATCTGACAGGGTATTTCTTTTATGACCGTTGCTTTCTGGGATGATGGGAGACTTTCTAAATGACTATCCTGAGCCTTTGAGCTATTATCCTGTTCGTTCGTTCTTTTCAAAGAGTCATATTCTCTTATGTTTCTGGAGCTAATCATAGTGTTTGTCACCTGTGTCACATTCTTGGCATACTTTATCTGAGTATCTCCGCCTACAGGCTGTACAGAAGTGCTGAGATCTAGATTGTCAGAATCTAGACCATCCCTACTAGAGTGTATGCACATTTGCTCGATATCATTAATTTCAGTTAAGAAAGAGTTGCTTCCAGAAAAGCTGTCACAGTCTGCAAACATACCATCACTGTCATAATACTGAAAGAAAAAGAAAGGTGAATGAGACTTTTGAATATTAAGCATTTTTATACAGGATGATAAAATATTCATTCTTTTGGTAAAACTTACAACTACTAGGATGAAATAGTATAATTACACCACAGTACAGTTTACAATAATCATAACAGCGTACCAAAATACAAATGACTTCTTGACCAAGACATTACTCTTTTTTAAAAAATCAAAACTGCCCTTATATCTTTAATAGCCTAACATGAGCAGTCAGCTGAACATTACAAGAAACTTCCTCTTTAGGCCAATTCAGGAACAGAATGAATTAGTGAAAGCACAGATTGGTGACATTTTTTTGGCCTGGAGATCACAGTACAGTACCCTCTTCAGCTACGTCTGAGAGTCTATAGAAGGCATGATTTGCCATGTTGTGATTAGAGCTTACACTCAGGTAAAGTTACCCAGCCTAAAAACCCTGTGATTAGGCATTTTAGCTTCTGCTAAAAGCTCTTCAGTAAAGTTTGTATTTTTAAACAACTATTAATTTAGGAACGCTTCTTTAGTATTTAATATTTGATCTACATCTTTTAGAGTTCTGTTTTGTAGCATTTTGTTTAAGAGCCTTGGTTGAAACATGGCACAAAAATCAACAATACTGTAACATAACACTGATTCCTATTTTCCTTAGATGTTCCTTCCTTGTATCAAATCTTAAGAATGATTTTTCTGTGGGACTTCACTACGTGCAAATGATGAGCAACATTTCTAGAAGACGCCACATTATGAAAAGTTGCTTTCAAGCCAAGGCATAAAACTTCCTGTTATTATTCTATAACGCTTTGTATACATGAACTCAGTAAAAATAAAATGTTATTGAAATATTAAGGAATTCTTTCCAGAGGCAAATTTGGCCATCCCTCACTCCTTCTTTCAGCTAACAACTACTCCATGCAGACTGTCTTTTTGTGGGTCTGTTATATTCTTTATTTTTCTTACTTTTCCAAAACGAACTGATTTCATTTTCGCATATGTTGTTTTTAAGCAGTCTTGCTTTTACTGTATTTGACTTTTTTTTCCAGTTTTCTTGTGAACTTCTTGTCTCCCTTAGCTGCTGGAATGCAATTTTCTTGCCAACAACCCAAAAGGGGGTTGCCAATTCTATTTCTGGACCTCTAGCTCAGGTCTTGTATTCCTAGCTGCTGAATAAAAACAACAACAACAAACCCACCACCAGCACAAGAGTCTCCCACCCTCAAGTCTCCATGGTTATTAGGTTAGCTGCATCATCATCGTCATCCTCATAACTGCCTATACCCTCAGATGCTACCTTAATAATTCTTAGGTCCTTGGTTAGGACTTGAATTTTAAGTTTTCACCAGTCTTTCACTGTGATTCTAATTGTAGGTTACCCAAATAGTAGTAGTAGTAGTAGTAGTAGTAAAAGGTGCCTTAGGTGCAATCCCAAAACATCTGGAGCACCACTTGAAGTCCATCATCGGCACTGACAAAATCACCATCAGTCAATTGCAAAAGGCATCTTTACTAGGAACAGCTTACATCCTGTGACAATACCTTTAACACCATCAAACAACATCTGCCTATCCCAGGTCCTTGGGAAGGACTCGAAGGGTGGATAAAAATGCCAAATCCAGTCTAAACATCTGGCTGTGCGACCACCACCACCACCACCGGAGTCTCCCAGCCTCAAGTCTGCTCTATTGCAGGCTTCCTCAACCTTGGCGGCTTGGAGATGTGTGGACTTCAACTCCCAGAATTCTGGGAGTTGTAGTCCACACATCTTCAAGCCGCCAAGGTTGAGGAACCCTGCTCTATTGGATGCCCGAGGGAGGCCTGGAATCGGCAGTACCTCCAGCTTCGGTTTCTCCAGCGCTTCCTCGCCTTCGTCCGAGTTCAGTTTCTTGCGGGCCGGCGGGGAAGACAAGCGGGACCGGCCTCCGCTCTTACTGCCGGGCGAATCCGCTCCGTGGCCTGGCCGCCGCCGCCTTTGCTCCTGCATCCTTCTCCTGACGATCCCACCGCCCTCCATGGAGAGCGGTATAGCCCTCGCTGGGTTCCCCCCGCCCCGGGTCAGCCGGTGCTGCGCCAGACGGGCAGGTGGCGAATTGAGCCGCTTCTCACGAGGCGAGGCAGCGGCTCCATTTACTCTCGTGCCCCCCTCTCCCGGAAATGGAACCGCCCGCTTCTGAGCGAGGACTGTACCATCTACTAGAAAAAGGGTGCAGGTTTTCTTTGACGCGGGAACCCGAGAAGTCACTTCCTGCCCTCGCGCATCCTATTGAGGGTGAGCCCATGAGCTTCCAATGAGTGAACTATAACTCCCGCCATCCCTCACCTAACCGCAGGGGCTGATGGGACTTCAGTTTGACAATTTACACGGGGGCATGAAATAAAGAGAACTGGGATGAATCACGTGATGTTATGACGATAGATCGCCATGATTGGTTGCGCGGAAGCGACTTCCTTGGGAGGATACCGAACCGTATGGCGGAACGGTGGTGCAGCCGCAGTTGAGGCGCGGAAGCTTTTCTTTCCGCAACCCGGATGTGTTGTGAGGAGGACTTGATTGGATGTTACTCTACTGCCCCGTCTGTACCGGAAGTTTGGAGAGCGGAAAACATGGCTGCCGTGGCAAGCTTGGTTTCTTCTCCTAGGATTTCGGGGAGATTTTATCTCTTCGCCACTGTAAGAAACGGAATCTGTGCGTCTGGTTCGGGTAAGTGAACCTTGCGGAACCTGAGAGGGAGCTAATGACGATCTTTTCTGTGTGGTTGGCCCATCAATTTTGGATAGGAATGGAGCCAGGCGTGCAATAATGAAAGAATTCAGGAGATTCCCAGGCATGTGAGTAGAGATGTGAGCAGTTTCATAGCTCATCCCTTCTGATGTGATTAGAACATTTGCCCATTTAAAACAAGAGAGCCTTATTTATGGAATTGCCTCCCCAGAGAAGCTTGACTGGCCCCCCAAGTTAGCATTATTTCTATTTTCTCGGGCTTTTTAATTGGCTTTGTTATTATTTTGAATAACCACCTTGCTGCTGCCTAGTTGGTATGGCATTTTCATTTTGCATTTTATTTAATTTTAGTGTATATGTAGTTACTAAAACACACTGTATCTTTCAGTCTGTTTTAGTGTAAACTGCCCAGACAGGGTATTGGGTTTAAAATAAAAATAAAACAATAAAGAAATAAGTGCAGATATTGTAAGTAAAAAAAGGCCAAATGTGAATTCTGGGAATTAATACATCTAGAGGGCACCTGTTACACTTATCTAGTTTGGATCTTAAGAGCCTTTGTGGGAGGCTTCTCTTGCAGTAGCAGAATGATGACAGTGGCTTCTGTTTATAAATTTTGTAAATACAGTCTACTGTTTAGTTCACATTGTACCACTTTCTCTGTCCCTGCACAGCTTTTTTTTTTTTTTTTTTACATGATATACTTTGTTAGATGCTCATTTCATGAAACTCATTGTGGAACACTCTAGAATGATACTGTGAAGGATACCTTTAAACTAGATGAATGTCAAGATTGAAGTCATTTATAAATTTCATTAAATAATGCCCAGCCAGCTAGCAAATACCGTTCCATTTAGAAATAGGAAGTGTAAAATGATGCACACTGGAGCAAAATAGCATAACTTCACATATACACTGGTAACGTCTGAGCTGTCTGTAACTAACCAGGAAAATGGCCTTGGGGATCATAGCAGATATTTCACTGGAGGTAGCACCTCCCTGTGAAACAACTGTGAAAAGGCGAATTCCATTCTAGGGATCATTAGGAAAGTTTTTGGAAATAGAACTGTCAACATTGTAATGCCTTTATACAAGTCTGTGTTAGCTGCATCTAGAATGCTGGGTGCAGCTTTGATGACCACATTTGAAAAAAGAAAAGATATACAGTAGTAGGTATGGAAAAGGTGCAGAATAGGGCTGCCAAAATCATGAAGAAGCTTAAACACCTTTCCTGTGAGAAAAAGGCTGGAACATTCAAAGTTCTTATTTATAAAAAGATGGGGAAACATGGCTGAGGTATATAAAATCATTCATGCAATGAAGAAAATGTCTGATAGTTTGTCTCTCAAAACATTAGGACTAATGACATCCAATTATTTTATTTATTTTATTTAGCAAATTTATATGGCTGCCCGTCTCACGGAACGTGACTCTGGGTGATGTACATCCAGCAACAATTAAAAACAATATAACAGCCATTAAGACAGCTAAAACAAATACATAAATAAAAAGCAAGAATGCGGGAGAATAACAACCATCTAGATACAGTACAGCCATCTTGCAGGCTTCCTATGGTTGTTGGAAAAACCACATTTTAAGGGCTTTCCAGAAGGATAGCAGGGATGGGGCTAACCTCTCCTTGGGCGGGGATGCTCCAGAAAGCAGGAGCCACTACTGAAAAGGCATGTCTTCCGGGTCCCGTCATATGAAAGTCTTTAGCAGATGGGGCCCAGAGCATACTCCTCCTGCTGGACTTGATGGTATGGTAGATGTAATCAGGAAGAGGCAGTCCCTCAAATAACCTGGTCCCATGCCATGTAGGGCTTTAAGGGTCAAAACCTGCATCTTGAATTGCACCTGGAGGCAGACCAGCCAATGGAGCTCATGGAACAGAGGTGTAACATATGCCATCCTAGGTGCACACATAACTATAAGTAGATTTAGAACAGAGAGAGAGAAGAAAAAAATATTCACATAATTAACTTTTGGAGTTTATTATCAGAATACATGATGATAGTCACTAACTTTGATGGCTTTAGAAGGGGATTAGATAATGTCATTAAGACATTTTTTTCCGGGTTATTCACTGAGATTGTTATCTCTGGGTTGGGAGCAGCATGCCTCCAAATATCAGTTGCAAAAGAACAACAGGCGAAGAAGGGAGCGTTCCTCATTTCTGCTTGCAAGCCCCCCAGAGGCATTTGGTTGGCCAATGTGAGAAACAAAAACCTGCACCAAAATTGGCCTTGGCCTGATCCAGCAAGTCCGTTTTTATGTTCTTACACATATTTCAGCAAACAGGAGATTATTTGCCAACTAATTGTTTTGGGTTATTTATGCATTTTTGTATGGGTACTACAATGCAGTCATTGATTTGTTCATAAAAGTTATTAGTCTATAACTTTTTAAAAGCCTACTATGAAGTAAACAGTCTCTGCTGCTATTGCGGGAAGAACAGACACAAACTTCTCTATCCCTGGTATCGAAATGTAAGCTTATAAATCTTAGCAGGCTAGTTTTTAAAAGTTGTTTTCTAACTATCTGGTTGACTGAAGAGAATTAGATCACATTCCACCAGCTTGGTTTCTGGTACAGCTATTGGTACCTCCACCGCCAGTCTGTATCTTTTTAATGTTTGTGGAGGAAGCTTCTTCCAGCACAGACACAAGGTGGCTGAATGGCAACCTTCTCACTTATCTGCAGAGTTTTCTTCCGCTAGCCTACATGGGATTCCTTTTGTGTAATCCAGTGTTGTCCAAACTTGGCCACTTTAAGATGAGTGGACTTCAACTCCCAGAATTCCCC